CCCCGCCCCATATATATATAATACACAACCCCCCCCCCCCACATCCACCCCCCCCGTATATAATACACAACCCCCCCCAATACACCCCCCCCCCGTATATAATACACAACCCTCCCCCCGTATATAATGCACATCCCCCCCCATATACAATACACAACCCCCCCCGTATATAATACACAACCCTCCCCCCGTATGTAATGCACAACCCCCCCCCGTATGTAATGCACATCCCCCCCCCGTATGTAATGCACATCCCCCCCGTATATAATACACAACCCCCCCCCCCCGTATATAATGCACATCCCCCCCCATATATAAATACACAACCCCCCCCCCGTATATAATACACAACCCTCCCCCGTATGTAATGCACATCCCCCCCGTATGTAATACACATCCCCCCCGTATGTAATGCACATCCCCCCCCCCGTATATAATGCACATCCCCCCCCGTAAATAATACACAACCCCCCCATATATATAATGTACACCCCCCCCCGTATATAATATATAATACACAAAACCCCCCCGTATATAATACACAACCCCCCGTATGTAATGCACATCCCCCCCCGTATATAATACACACCCCTGTATATAATACACAACCCCCCCCCATATACACATACATACCCCTGTATATAATATAACAACCCCCCCGTATACAATACACAACCCCCCCCCGTATACGAATACACAACCCCCCCTGTATATAATACAACCCCCCCCCGTATATTATACACAACCCCCCCGTATATAATACACAACCCCCCCCCCCCCGTATACAATACACAAACACCCCCCCGTATACATCAGGGAGCGGGTAGATGGGTTCAGGGACATTATTACAGTCAGTGCGGTCCAGGCGATCGGTTCGGTCGGGGGGGGCGGGTAGATGGGTTCAGGGACATTATTACAGTCAGTGCGGTCCAGGCGATCGGTCGTTGTGGTCCAGGCGATTGGTCGGTCAGGGGGGCGGGTAGATGGGTTCAGGGACATTATTACAGTCAGTGCGGTCCATGCAATCAGTCGGTGCGGTCCAGGCGATTGGTCAGCCATGTAGATGGGTTCAGGGACATTATTACGGTCGGTGCGGTCCAGGCGATCGGTTGGTCAGGGGGGCGGGGTAGACGGGTTCAGGGACATCATTACGGTCAGTGCGGTCCAGGTCCAGGCGATTGGTCGGTCAGGGGGGCGGGTGTATGGGTTCAGGGACATTATTACAGTCAGTGCGGTCCATGCAATCAGTCGGTGCGGTCCAGGCGATCGGTCGGGGATCCATGTAGATGGGTTCAGGGACATTATTACGGTCGGTGCAGTCCAGGCGATCGGTCGGTGCGGTCCAGGCGATTGGTCGGTCAGGGGGGCGGGGGTAGATGGGTTCAGGGACATTATTACAGTCAGTGCGGTCCATGCAATCAGTCGGTGCGGTCCAGGCGATCGGTCGGCCATGTAGATGGGTTCAGGGACATTATTACGGTCGGTGCGGTCCAGGCGATCGGTCGGTGCGGTCCAGGCGATTGGTCGGTCCAGGGGGGGCGGGTAGATGGGTTCAGGGACATTATTACAGTCAGTGCGGTCCAGGCGATTGGTCGGTCAGGGAGCGGGTAGATGGGTTCAGGGACATTATTACGGTCGGTGCGGTCCAGGCAATCGGTTGGTGCGGTCCAGGCAATTCGGTCGGTCAGGGGGGCGGGTAGATGGGTTCAGGGACATTATTACGGTCAGTGCGGTCCATGCGATCGGTCGGTGCGGCCCAGGCGATCGGTCGGTGCGGTCCAGGCGATCGGTCGGTGCGGTCCAGGCGATCGGTCGGTCAGGGGGGCGGGTATATGGGTTCAGGGACATTATTACGGTCGGTGCGGTCCAGGCGATCGGTCGGTGTGGTCCAGGCGATTGGTCGGTCAGGGGGGGGCGGGTAGATGGGTTCAGGGACATTATTACAGTCAGTGCGGTCCATGCAATCAGTCGGTGCGGTCCAGGCGATTGGTCAGCCATGTAGACGGGTTCAGGGACATTATTACGGTCGGTGCGGTCCAGGCGATCGGTTGGTCAGGGGGGGCGGGTAGACGGGGTTCAGGGACATTATTACGGTCAGTGGTGCGGTCCAGGCGATCGGTTGGTCAGGGGGGGGGTAGACGGGTTCAGGGACATTATTACAGTCAGTGCGGTCCATGCAGTCAGTCGGTGAGGTCCAGGCGATCGGTCGGGGCCATGTAGATGGGTTCAGGGACATTATTACGGTCGGTGCGGTCCAGGCGATCGGTTGGTCAGGGGGGCGGGTGAATGGGTTCAGGGACATTATTACGGTCAGGTGAGGTCCATGCAGTCAGTCGGTGAGGTCCAGGCGATCGGTCGGTCAGGGGGGCGGGTGTAATGGGTTCAGGGACATTATTACGGTCGGTGCGGTCCAGGCGATCAGGCAGTGCGGTCCAGGCGATCGGTCGGTCAGGGGGGCGGGTAGATGGGTTCAGGGACATTATTACGGTCGGTGCGGTCCAAGCGATCAGTCAGTGCGGTCCAGGCGATCGGTCGGTCGGGGATCAGGGGCGGGGCGGGTGTGTATGGGTTCAGGGACATTATTACAGTCAGTGCGGTCCATGCAATCAGTCGGTGCGGTCCAGGCGATGGTCGGTGGTGGGTCCAGGCGATTGGTCGGTCAGGGGGGCGGTAGATGGGTTCAGGGACATTATTACAGTCAGTGCGGTCCAGGCGATTGGTCGGTCAGGGAGTGGGTAGATGGGTTCAGGGACATTATTACGGTCGGTGCGGTCCATGCGATCATCGGTCGGTGCGGTCCAGGCAATCGGTTGGTGCGGTCCAGGCAATCGGATTCGGTCAGGGGGGCGGGTAGATGGGTTCAGGGACATTATTACGGTCAGTGCGGTCCATGCGATCGGTATCGTCGTGTAAGTCGGTGCGGTCCAGGCGATCGGGTCGGTGCGGTCCAGGCGATCGGGTATCGGTGTGCGGTCCAGGCGATCGGTTGGTCAGGGGGGGCGGGTAGTACGGGTTCAGGGACATTATTACGGTCGGTGCGGTCCAGGCGATCGGTTGGTCAGGGGGGGCGGGTAGACGGGTTCAGGGACATTATTACGGTCAGTGCGGTCCAGGCGATCGGTCGGTCAGGGGGGGGGGGGTGTATGGGTTCAGGGACATTATTACAGTCAGTGCGGTCCATGCAATCAGTCGGTGCGGTCCAGGCGATCGGTCGGTCAGGGGGGGCATGTAGATGGGTTCAGGGACATTATTACAGTCAGTGCGGTCCATGCAGTCAGTCGGTGCGGTCCAGGCGATCGGTCGGCCATGTAGATGGGTTCAGGGACATTATTACGGTCAGTGTGGTCCAGGCGATCGGTTGGTCAGGGGGGCGGGTGTATGGTTCAGGGACATTATTACAGTCAGTGCGGTCCATGCAGTCAGTCGGTGAGGTCCAGGCGATCGGTTGGTCAGGGGGGCGGGTGTAATGGGTTCAGGGACATTATTACAGTCAGTGCGGTCCATGCAGTCAGTCGGTGAGGTCCAGGCGATCGGTCGGTCAGGGGGGGGGGGGTGTATGGGTTCAGGGACATTATTACAGTCAGTGCGGTCCATGCAGTCAGTCGGTGAGGTCCAGGCGATCGGTCGGTCAGGGGGGCGGGTAGACGGGTTCAGGGACATTATTACAGTCAGTGCGGTCCATGCAGTCAGTCGGTGAGGTCCAGGCGATCGGTTGGTCAGGGGGGCGGGTAGACGGGTTCAGGGACATTATTACAGTCAGTGCGGTCCATGCAGTCAGTCGGTGAGGTCCAGGCGATCGGTCGGTCAGGGGGGGGCGGGTGTATGGGTTCAGGGACATTATTACGGTCAGGATGGACAGGCACCTCGGGGGACCCAATCACAGGATTACACTCCACACAGGATTATAACACAGCAAAGTCTGATTACCTCTCAGCAGAGAAGGGGAACCTCATTCATGGTGACACAGGAAGTTGTGATATCACAGCCCAGGGGATTCTGGGAGCTCCAGTCTCAGCCATCATACCAGAGTCTCTGCAGTCACACTGACGGCCATGTGGACACCTTTCTTTCCCTCTAGTACTGGGCTGGAGGAGTCACATGACCACAGCAGACCAATCACTGTAAGAAGCTGGGACAGATGGGACAATAGAGGCAGAAGGAGCCAATGGCTGCAGAGTCTCCTCTATGAAGGCAGCCATTTTGTGTTATACCAACACTGACACTTCATCATCATCATTATTATCACACGGGATTTATAGCGCCAACAGTCTGCGCAGCGATGTACAACATGAGGGCAAACAGTACAGTTACAGTACAATTCAATACAAGGGGGAATCAGAGAGCCCGGCTCCCAGGAGCTTACAATCTAAGGGGGGGGGGGAGGGTAAAAACTGTGGAGGATGGGCTGATGGGGAAGATAATAGTACAGTTGTTAGGTGGGGACAGAGTAGTTTTCTCTAAAGAGAAGTGTTTTCGGGGATCATCTAAAAGAGGATAGAGTAGGAGATAAACAGATTGGGGTAGAGTATTCCAGAGGATGGGAGAGGCTCTGGAGAAGTCCTGCAGATGAGCATGGGAGGAAACAAGGGAGCTAGAGAGCAGGAGGTCTTGGGAGGAGCTGAGAGAACAATTTGGTTGGTATTTTGAGACCAGGTTGGTGATGTCGCTGGGGGGCCAAGTTGTGGATGGATTTGTAAGTTGTTGTTAGTATTTTGAATTTAATTCATTGGGTGAGAAGAAGCCAGTGAAGGGATTGGCAGAGAGGGGTGGAGGACACTGAGTGGAGGCCAGTGGAGGGATTGGTAGAGAGGGGTGGAGGACACTGAATGGAGGCCAGTGGAGGGATTGGCAGAGAGGGGTGGAGGACACTGAGTGGAGGCCAGTGGGAGGGATTGGTAGAGGGGGTGGAGGACACTGAGTGGAGACCAGTGGAGGGATTGGCAGAGAGGGATGGAGGACACTGAATGGAAGCCAGTGGAGGGATTGGCAGTGAGGGGTGGAGGACACTGAGTGGCAGGCCAGTGGAGGGATTGGTAGAGGGGGGTGGAGGACACTGAGTGGAGGCCAGTGGAGGGATTGGTAGAGAGGGATGGAGGACACTGAGTGGAGGCCAGTGGAGGGATTGGCAGAGAGGGATGGAGGACACTGAGAGGGATTGGTAGAGAGAGTGGTGGAGGACACTGGAGGCCAGTGGAGGGATTGGTAGAGAGAGTGGTGGAGGACACTGAATGGAGGCCTGTGGAGGGATTGGTAGAGAGTTGTGGAGGACACTGATTGGAGAGGCAGTGGAGGGATTGGCAGAGAGGGGTGGAGGACACTGTTTGGAGAGGCCAGTAGAGGGATTGGCAGAGAGGGGTGGAGGACACTGTTTGGAGAGGCCAGTGGAGGGATTGGCAGAGAGGGGTGGAGGACAATGATTGGAGAGGCCCAGTGGGGGGATTGGTAGAGAGGGGTGGAGGACAATGATTGGAGAGGCCAGTGGAGGGATTGGCAGAGGGGGGTGGAGGACACTGAATGGAGACCAGTGGGGGATTGGCAGAGAGGGGTGGAGGACACTGAATGGAGACCAGTGGAGGGATTGGCAGAGAGGGGTGGAGGACACTGAATGGAGACCAGTGGAGGGATTGGCAGAGAGGGGTGGAGGACACTGAATGGAGACCAGTGGAGGGATTGGCAGAGAGGGGTGGAGGACACTGAATGGAGACCAGTGGAGGGATTGGCAGAGAGGGGTGAGAGGACACTGAATGTTTGGTAAGGTGGATGAGCCTGGCAGCAGCATTCATTGTAGACTGGAGGGGGGGTGGCCTATAAAGGTCATCCAATGAAGAGGGAGTTGCGGGAGATGACCAGGGAGTGAATTAGAAGCTCTGTAACGTAATTGGTCAGGAAGGGGCGTATTTTGGAGATCTGTCGGAGGTTGAGGTGGCATGATTTGGACAGTGATCGGATCGGGGGGGGTAATATTATGGGCTCAGTTTTGGATACAGTTGGAGGAAGTGGTGTGTAATCCAGTGTGATATGTCTGTTAGTAGATTAGTGATGTGTGAGGAGATGGAGTGAGTTGAGGGTACAGAGATAGATTTGGGTGTCATCGGCATAGAGATGGTATTGAAAGCCATGGGAGGAGGTGTAGATGGAGACTAGGGGAGGTCCAAGAACAGAACCTTGGGGGACCCCGACCGAAAGAGGAAAGGGGGAAGTAATATTGTGACACTGAAGGTGGGGTGGGATCAGTAGGATGAAAACCAGTGAAGAATACAGTCATGGAGTCTAAAGTGGTGGAGTTTTTTGCGGAGGAGGAAGGGTGGTCCACTATGGCCAAGGCAGCAGAGAGGTCCAGGGGTAGGAGTACAGAATGGTGTCCATTGGTTTTAGCCATTAGTAGATGGTGAGATTTAGGAGAGCAGTTTCTGTGGAGTATTGAGGAGGAAATCCAGACTGAAGGGGATCGAGAAGGTTATTCCTGATGAGGTGGTCACTCGGTTGTAGATGGGGAATAATCTCACACACAATGTACGATACACCAATATCCTTTATACGTCTCGAGAAAATGAGCTGAAGACCAGCCAGCCCTTGGCCCTGATGTACATATATAGTGATCCAGAACAATCCAGTCTGAGTATTATATGGATGTGTTCTACCAGAGGACAGCTAGTTAGTGGGGGTAGTGTCCCTTCCCGGAAAAGTTCTGGATAATTCTGCAGCCTGTACCGACTCCACACCTCCATATCCAGCACCAGAGTGTAACCAATAAATAAGAAGCCTTCCTCATCTGGAACCTCTCTCTACACTTAATACTGTCCCTCACAAGTAGGCTCCTGTCCCTCACAAGTAGGCTCCTGTCCCTCACAAGTAGGTTCCTGTCCCTCACAAGTAGGTTCCTGTCCCTCACAGGTAGGTTCCTGTCCCTCACAAGTAGGTTCCTGTCCCTCACCGGTAGGTTCCTGTCCTTCACAGGTAGGTTCCTGTCCCTCACAAGTAGGTTCCTGTCCCTCACAAGTAGGTTCCTGTCCTTCAAAAGTAGGCTCCTGTCCCTCACAAGTAGGTTCCTGTCCTTCAAAAGTAGGCTCCTGTCCCTCACAAGTAGGTTCCTGTCCTTCACAAGTAGGTTCCTGTCCCTCACCGGTAGGTTCCTGTCCTTCACAGGTAGGTTCCTGTCCCTCACAAGTAGGTTCCTGTCCTTCACAAGTAGGTTCCTGTCCTTCACAAGTAGGCTCCTGTCCCTCACAAGTAGGTTCCTGTCCTTCACAAGTAGGTTCCTGTCCCTCACAAGTAGGTTCCTGTCCTTCACAAGTAGGTTCCTGTCCTTCACAAGTAGGCTCCTGTCCCTCACAAGTAGGTTCCTGTCCTTCACAAGTAGGTTCCTGTCCTTCACAAGTAGGCTCCTGTCCCTCACAAGTAGGTTCCTGTCCTTCACAAGTAGGCTCCTGTCCCTCACAAGTAGGTTCCTGTCCTTCACAAGTAGGTTCCTGTCCTTCACAAGTAGGTTCCTGTCCCTGATCGTTTATTCACCAGAAGTACCAAAATGACGAAGGTTCCCTTATTTAAAAGGTTCCCTCACCCAAGATGGCCGCTGAAGCCTCTCAAGAGTTTGGTGTCCAATCAGACAACTTTCCTCTCTGGTGTACATACTCACACCTAATAAAGATTGACCCCCTTCCAATCTGTACCCTTGTTTGGTCCCTGGACCTGGTCAGAGGGATTAGACCTCCTGCCAGATATCTATGGTTGTCTGTGCTCCTGTTAGGGAGATTCACCCCATTTGTCATGATGACCGTTACCATCGAGAGTGATGGACAATCCCAAATTTTGGTTGTCACCAGAACAGGTGGAGAGCTGAAACCTTCCAGTAGAGACACTAGTTCTGGTGACAACCAGGGATTCCCAAACATTAGAGGAATTTCCTCTCACTTCATGTTTTGGCTATGAAACAGGAAATGAAGGGAAAGCTCCCCAATGGGACACATGACCGGGTTATGACCCTCCCTTACTCCACTCGAATTGAAAAAAAAAAGTTTTGTCTTTAGTTCCACTTTAACAATGGAAGACAAAATTTACAGAAAAGATATTACAAAACAGACATAAGCAACAGAAAAATGTTTAGGTGGAGTCGGCCTGGTGTGTCCTGCAGAGCTGGGATCACCTGATGAATGGGTCTACTCTGATGTACAGAAGTCCCTGATCCTCATGAAGAACTCCTGAATAGTTATGATGGTAAGACTAGAGCTGTGTGTGCAGCCATCTTTTTTGTCCCTGGCGAGAATGTTGCAAAGCCAGCTCCACCCAACTAAAGGATCTGAGGATGGGGGGGGGGGGGGGGGTGTTAGGTATGCTCTAGGGTTTTATTAGGTTTGGACACACCCTATCCTGGGTACATCTATAGTCAGGTCCATAAATATTGGGACATGGACACAATTCTAACATTTTTTGGCTCTATACACCACCACAATGGATTTGAAATGAAACAAACAAGATGTGCTTTAATTGCAGACTGTCAGCTTTAATTTGAGGGTATTTACATCCAAATCAGGTGGACGGTGTAGGAATGACAACAGTTTGCATAGGTGCCTCCCACTTGTTAAGGGACCAAAAGTAATGGGACATAATAATAATCATAAATCAAACTTTCACTTTTTAATACTTGGTTACAAATCCTTTGCAGTCAATGACAGCCTGAAGTGTGGAACGCATAGACATCACCAGACGCTGGGTGTCATCCCTGGTGATGCTCTGCCAGGCCTCTACTGCAACTGTCTTCAGTTCCTGCTTGTTCTTGGGGCATTTTCCCTTCAGTTTTGTCTTCAGCAAGTGAAATGCTCAATCGGATTCAGGTCAGGTGATTGGCCATTGCAGAACATTCCACTTCTTTGGTGTCTTTTGCAGTCTGCTTTGGGTCATTGTCCATCTGCACTGTGAAGCGTCCAATGAGTTGTGAAGCATTTGGCTGAATATGAGCCGATAATATTCCCGAAACACTTCACAATTCATCCGGCTGCTTCTGTCAGCCGTCACACCATCAATAAATACAAGAGAAGCAGTTCCATTGGCAGCCATACATGCCCACGCCATGACACTACCACCACCATGATCACTGATGAGGTGGTATGCTGAGGACCATGAGCAGTTCCTTCTCCATACTCTTCTCTTCCCATCACTCTGGTACAAGTTGATGTCGGTCTCCTCTGTCCATAGGATGTTGTTCCAGAACTGTGAAGGCTTTTTTACATGTCGTTTGGCAAACTCTAATCTGGCCTTCCTGTGTTTGAGGCTCACCAATGGTTTCCATCTTGTGGTGAACCCTCTGTATTCACTCTGGTGAAGTCTTCTCTTGATTGGTGACTTTGACACACATACACCTACCTCCTGGAGAGTGTTCTTGATCTGGCCAACTGTTGTGAAGGGTGTTTTCTTCACCAGGGAAAGGATTCTTCGCTCATCCACCACAGTTGTTTTCCGTGGTCTTCCGGGTCTTTTGGTGTTGCTGAGCTCACCGGTGCGTTCCTTCTTTTAAAGAATGTTCCAAACAGTTGTTTTGGCCACGCCTAATGTTTTTTACTATCTCTCTGATGGGTTTGTTTTGTTTTTTCAGCCTAATGATGGCTTCACTGATAGTGACAGCTCTTTGCATCTCATCTTGAGAGTTGACAGCAACAGATTCCAAATGCAAATAGCACACTTGAAATGAACTCTGGACCTTTTATCTGCTCATTGTAATTGGGATAATGAGGGAATAACACACACACCTGGCCATGGAACAGCTGAGAAGCCAATTGTCCCATTACTTTTGGTCCCTTAACAAGTGGGAGGCACATGTGCAAACTGTTGTAATTCCTACACCGTTCACCTGATTTGTATGTAAATACCCTCAAATTAAAGCTGACAGTCTGCAGTTAAAGCACATCTTGTTTGTTTCATTTCAAATCCATTGTGGTGGTGTATAGACCCAAAAATTTTAGAATTGTGTCGATGTCCCAATATTTATGGACCTGACTGTATATGTCCATCTGGCAAGGTTTCACAATCCGACAACCAGCATATTAGGAAGCAGAATGAAATGATGATTTGGTAAACACTAAATATGACATACAGTATCTCCCAGAAGTGAGTCCACCCCTCCCCCGGACTGTATGCAATGTATATACAGTGGGGCAAAAAAGTATTTAGTCCCCACCAATGGTGCAAGTTCTCCCACTTACAAAGATGAGAGAGGCCTGTAATTGGCATCATAGGGAGACCTCAACTATGAGAGACAAAATGAGAAAACAAATCCAGACAATCACATTGGCTGATCTGGAAAGAATTTATTTGCAAATTATGGTGGAAAATATGTATTTGGTCACCTACAAACAAGCAAGATTTCTGGCTCTCACAGACCAGATCCTTTCAGATGAAGTCCGGAAGTGACGAAACGCGTTAAAGGAGTGACGTCAGGACGCACGTATGCAGACCGGAAGTGTCGCCGCGGCCATTTTTTAGGTTGTCAATACACATGGTGGAGGAAATGTTTGTTTAAGCAGACAGAAACCATAGCTGGAGCTGATAATCCAATTCTTAAGTGTGAGTTACTAATAAATGTTATCCCTATGTTTTGAATATTGCTCCTAAGACCATTTATTTCTCTGAGGACCTGGAAATATCCCAAAAGAAGATTTTTGGAAGATTACTGATCCATAATGTTGGTAGAGCCTTAATTACACCATAGAGGGTAATA